GTTTAGGACGGCCTAGGCTTAGTAGCCTAGGCCAAGGAGATCGAGTGAGTTGTACCAAGAGGGTCGAGAAATTTGGGAATGGGGTTCACTATAGCAAGAGAGGTACATATAGCAAACAAGTGAAGAAAGAGGTGCACCACCTATAAAGTTCATATCTACACTACAGCTAGAACTACATGCAGGTATAATAATATAATTCTGACATCCCCCCGTAACTGCATGCAGGAATAGCTAAGTGCAAAACACAACCTGCAGGGGTACACCACAGACTGATAAAACAGCAACAACAGGTACAGGAACAGAGCAGGTACAGGATGTTGACAACAAGCAATTTCTGCCACCCCCTTATCCTCTCCCCCCCCAACCACAGGAGGGGCAGCAGGGAGAGTGAGGAGGCGGGCTGGCTTTGGCTGGTCACCCCCTCCATCTCCTCACCCTCCCCCTCCCCCTCCCCCACACTGCTGCAGGAGCAGCAGAGGGGGGGGGGGGAAGAGAGGAGAGGTGGAGGGACGGCTGCTGGTTGCCTCACACCCGCCACCCCGGTGCCACTCCCCCTGCTCCCCCACACCCTCACACCCTCCCCCCCAGCGGCAGCTGCAGCAGTGGGAACGAAAGGAGGAGGAGGGGAAGGGAAGCACTCTACCCAACACTCCAACACCCGCCACCCCCATACCCTCCCCCCCACGGCTGCAGGGAGACGAAGGAGGAGGGGGTGGGCGGGAAGAAAGCCGCAGAGCGGCTAAATAGGGTCGGTGCAGGTAGGTCAGGGGCGGCTGCAGGGAGTGCAGGTGCGGAGAGCACCGTCGCAGGCGCCAGGGGCGGGTCCGCGGCGGCTCAAGGGCACCGCCGCGGGCGCCAGGGGCGGGTCCGCGACGGCTCAGGGCACCGCCGCAGGCGCCAGAGGCGGGTCCGCGACGGCTCAGTGCACCGCCGCGGGCGCCAGAGGCGGGTCCGCGACGGCTAAGGGCACCGCCGCGGGCGCCAGAGGCGGGTCCGCGACGGCTCAGGGCACCGCCGCAGGCGCCAGAGGCGGGTCCGCGACGGCTCAGGGCGCCGTCGCGGGCGCCTGGGGCGGGTCCGCGACGGGTAGAAAAAAACGTCACGCACCCGAGGCGCGCGACCAGAAATACAGCAGCGGAAGCATTAGGCGGGCCCACAGGCCAGGACGAAACACGCTCTGAATCCATGTTAAAGTACTAGCTTAATAGGTAGTTGAGAGTTTAGGACGGCCTAGGCTTAGTAGCCTAGGCCAAGGAGATCGAGTGAGTTGTACCAAGAGGGTCGAGAAATTTGGGAATGGGGTTCACTATAGCAAGAGAGGTACATATAGCAAACAAGTGAAGAAAGAGGTGCACCACCTATAAAGTTCATATCTACACTACAGCTAGAACTACATGCAGGTATAATAATATAATTCTGACAGCAGCTGCTGCCGTGCTTTTTCTACTCCGAAATGCCCCGAGGTAACTCCGTCGTGTGCCTCCTGTAACTGTAATTCCCGTAGCAGTGTAAACCCAGGCACCCAAATGCGGTCAGTCCCGGTTTTTACGTAATAGACTCCCTTTGCTGCTGCGAACTGCTGCGAATTTCCTCCTGTGAAGAATGGATCCGTTTGGTACCCGTGGGTGAATAGGCCTGTCAGTAGCGGGCTTGTCTGGGCGAGTAGTATTGCGTGGAACTGGGCAGTGGGGCGGGTCAGTGCGTCGGCGATGTTCGAGGCTCCCTTTTTGTAAGTGACCGTGTAGTGAAAGTTGGACTCGAGGAAATCGAGCCAGCGAATCTGTCGTGGGTTGAGGTGTGGCTGTGCGCGAAGGTACAGTAGTGATTTATGGTCTGTCCGTACTGTCACGTCCGCGCCAGTCAAGTAGCAGCGCCATACTTTGAACGCGTGCACGATCGCAAGCATTTTGCGGTCGTGTATCGGGTAATTTTTCTCGCGCGTATGCAGTTTTCGTGACTCGTATGCGATAGGCTGTAGGCCATTGCCAAAATCCTGTAGCAGTACGGCTCCGATGGCGATATTGCCTGCGTCGGTAACTACTTAGAATGGGCGGTGTGGGTCGGCGATGCGCAGGACTGGCGGTGAACAGAGAACATTTTCCAGGGCATAGAAGGCAGCATGCTCTTTCTCCCCCCACGTAAAAGCGACCCCTGTGAGGATCTAGGATCGAGCTCAGAAAAGAGAATGTGAATTGAATCGAATTAAATGAATCACCTGGGTACAACACGAGGCTATATATAGGCTCGACACAAGGCCCCGTAACCAGGTGTTCGCACGGTGCAGCTACCCGTCAACCAGTCAACTAGCGGGTTATACCGTCGCAGCCAATCACGTCCCAGTAAAATATCGTGCCCATCGAGTATCGTTGCGAGCATTTCCTTTGTAAACCCGAAATTTCCCCCGCAGCGGACTTTGACTCTTTCTACCTTTTCCCGTATGGCCAGTGGCGTGCCGTCGACTAAGCGTGCGTCGATCCCCGGTAAACAACGGCTAAGTGTCAGTTGCAGTTTTCGTGCGGTTGCGGTATTAACTTAACTGTGGCTTACTCCTCGGTCGATAAAAATCTTCACTGCTGCTCCCTGTATTTTCCCGTGGATCAGTACTGGGCAATCCGTCGCTATACCCTCCTTATTCGTCCGAGGCCGATCGATAGCATGAATCGGTACTGTGACTCGGTGAGGGTCGGTGGGGTTGGGCGAGCAGGCAGTCTCGTCAGTACTTGGCCCGATTCCTACTGACTGCTGGCGTTTCCCTGCTTTGGAGACTCCCTCCCCTGCTCTGCTCCGCGGCGCCTTAGCTCCTCTGGGCATTCGCTCTTGCGATGGCACGGCCTGTTGCAAGCGAAGCAGCGCCCCTTAAATGGCGTGGCAGCTGCATTCGTCGCAACAGCATGTACGGTGGCGTGCTCGATCGGTCCCCGAGGACGATGTCCATAGTAGGACCCCGGTCTCGGACGGCGTAAAATGTCGATTTTCTCGGCGAGCGCGAGAATCTCGTTGAAATTCGAGAGCCCGCGTAGCATGATTTCGTGCGAGATGTCCGGCTTCAGCCCTCCGACGTAACGGTCCACTCGCTCCGCTTCGTGCATAAAGCCGACTTACTCGCATAATGCGAGAAAACCACTCGTATAGTCTTGAACCGATCCAAGCTGCCGTCAGGTGCGCAATCTCTGACGCGCCGAAATAGAAGCCGCGATCGGCTCGAAGCGTGCCCGAAGCCCTGCGCACCACGCATCCCACGTGCTGTATTGGGCGGTCTCGCAGAATGAACTCCAGGTGACAGCTGGGCCCGTGGGCCCTTCCTCTTGCGACGGTGGCTCGTAGGCGCGTGGCGACGTCACGATGACTCGCCACCAGTCCATGGCGGGGCCCCTTAGCAGCGAAACGGCATACCGAATCTTCGCTGCGTCCGATTCAACGTAATTCGCGTCGAAGAAGACGTTCATCGTGAAGACCCACGACTGAACCGTCGGACCTCCACGCTGGCTCGGGTCGAAGCAGGGCGGGCGTTGCGGCTTGAGTGGCATTGGTGCCATGATGGCCTGTTCGCCACTTGTCGCCGCGAACTCCACGTGCCGACGGGCTTCGCGAGGCTCCCGCGGGCTTCGTGCGACCCTGTTTCCTCCCATGTCAGGCATCGGTTGGGCGGCGCCATCGCTGGCTGCGCCTGAGCGCTGTCCCACGCTGTTGTTTTGTGTTGGTGTGCCGGACGAGATGACGATCGGCTCGTCTGATTGTGCAGATGCATTTGTCGGTGCATGTGGTGGCGCTGGAGTGTTCATCATTGATTGCTGACGCGCGTCAATGTGGCGAGCGTGAATTCGGCCATGGCGGGGGTGTCGGGCGAGCTCTGCGAGAGCCTCGGTCGTGGCCGTGCGTGCTTACGAGCGAGCACTACGAGCGGCGGTGCTGTGTCGCTGAGAGACGTCTACCCCCCCAAAAAATTGAGATAGTGGGGAAGCGAAGGTGTGGGTGCGGTCCGAGAGGAGATCGTAGGCTCTGAATACCAGGTGTTACGAGTGCAATTGAGTGAACGAACGAGAATTGCAGTATCGAAGCAAGAGTACAATGAGGGAAGGCATGAGCGAAGAATATATAGCGAAACTACAGTGGTAACGGTAATGGACTGTGGTTGTCGCGCGACGGGACTGGGACTGAGGTTGGGAAAAAGTGTCGAAGCGGAGGCCCGGAGCGCGGGTTACCCGCCGAGCCGTGAGGTCGGGGTGCGATGTGCGAAGGTGGCGAGCGGATTGTCGATGCGAGGGTGGCGAGTGGTAACGGTGCTGACTGTGGTGCTACAGTGATGTACGCGTTGAGCAGGGATGCGAAGTAAGGAAAAGGAATTTTCCTTACAAGTATTGTCAAATGGATAGAAGCGCTTTATTTTGTATTTCACACGTGAGGGAGGTCAGTTGATGTTCTGCTGATGATCCCCATTATAATGGGGTAAAACATTCACCTTGTTGATGTGGCGTCATGTCTTAGCTACACGTCAAACGCGACAGTGACCTCGTGGCTGAGGGTCCCCCACAGCCTTCAACATCAACAAGGCGTGTTCAATCGAATGACTTGTGGATCCGGTGTCAGTATTACCGTAGCGCGTTTGTGCCTAGTGAGTACGTTGTCTGAAACCACACTCTGATTGTCACCGTCGTTTCATTCACGAAACGTCTAGACGCAGTAACGATCAAGCCCTAGCACGACAAGCTACCTTTCGGCTGCCATGGAAATTGGACTGCCAGACAGCACACCACAACATGAACAAATGGTGGTAGACCTGTTATGGTTCTCGTAGAATCTAAATTGCGGCTGTCTGTAGAACAGTAAGACCAATTTACAGAGTCAACAGCAATTGCAATCGCAATCGCGATTATTTCGTGGCACGTTTGTCTTTCCTGGGGTGCTTGCTTGCCAGGCGACGCAGCATCGGCAGTTGTTTTTTTACGGCGAGACAGTGGAGACCGTTAGTCTAGAATTCCCTCTGCGACCCTCACGGCAGTATGGCGGTGCGTTCCCTCGATTCTTCATTCTTTGGCTCCGTGGTCTCGCAACGCGCTCCTTTTCCCGGCGACCGTTGCGCGGCGGAAAGGGTCCCCGCTCCGCAACCCGCGCGTCCGCCGCCGATTCTTCGCGGCCGACCGGACCGCTCCGTTGCGCGCCCGTGCACGATCCCCCCGGTCTGTGTAGCGCATATCGTAGCCGCGGTCTGGTTCGATGACGACGTGGACGATCCGCGGTTTGCGGGGTGGGACGGCGGCAGTAGCGCTGGCGGACGGGCGGGGAGACGAGGGGGGAGGCGCGGAGAGAACGCGGAGCAGGCGGGAGCGCGTGCGACCCGCAGGAAGGCGAAAGACTCGAAACGCGGTCGGGGAAACAGAGCGGCTGACGTGGACAAGGAGGGCGAGCAGCAGGGGAGCAGAGCGAATGGGGGTGAAAGGATGAGAATGAATGGCGGTACTCCCAGCACTAGTAGCACCCCCTTTACTGGGGAGGCAGCCATTCTAACGGTACCTGCTACGGAGAGTCGAGTGCTCGCTGAGACTGCAACAGCCGCTGGTTTCAGGGAAGCTGTGACAACCCCAGCCGGCACAGGTCAACCAACAGCATCAACAGCAGGAGTAGCAGGAGCAGGAGGAGCAGCAGCAGGAGCCTCGTGGGCTGTGCAGGATGGAGTGTCCTCGGCTGTTCCTTCGTCGTCCTCATTCGTGAAACCGCTCTCCACGCTCTACCCTCGTGTGCCCTGCCGCGTCTGCCAAGGTGCAAGGGGGTGGTGTCTGGGGAAGTGGGGGGGATCAAGGGGAGTGTGATGGGACGAGTATTGAGTTCTGAAGAGTGAAGGGGGAAGGGAAGCGAGTGGAACACTGAAAATGGTTACCCCTAGCATGTTTCAAGGCGACCACTATGCTCTGCCTCTTTTCTTTACGGCAGCTCACTTCAACCAGCCCCTTTATTTCCTTCTTCCTCCTTTTTGAACTCCCCCAACCGTTCCCATCCTTCCCCTCTGCTCTGTGCCAGATACCAAGCTGGTGGAGTGCGCATGTTGTGATGGTGTTGGCACACTGGCTCGCGGAGGCTTCCAGAAGAAAAACCCAGTCTCTGTTTCAAGAATCATAGGTGAAGGATACTTCCTAGGCATCACATACACAGCATAGCGGTTTCTACTTTTACCGCCATAGCCTGACTGCATATATGAGTGCGCATGCGGCAATCTGCGAAGTCAAGGTCGGATGCTTTTCTTTTTACTTTGCTTTAGTCCTACCTTAGGCAAGAGTCCCCGGTGATCCCCACGCCTCCACCCGATGCGAGTTCCCTTCCATCAGCATTTATGAATGTGATACTAGGTTCACATTCAGTTCCTTCGTTGGCCTTTCAGTGTTTCACGTTTCCCTGCTTATATTTTCTTTCCTTGAGGATCCTTCATATTATCCCTAGTGTATCCTCTCCATGTTTTCCTCCCTCCTGCTCAATGTTCCTTCCTCCAGGATCCAAGTGGACAGCCATGGTGCGCACGCATGGTTGGCACCACTTCAGAGTTGAATCCAAGAGAAGGATGGGAGGCAATGCTGCAGGCAGACGCAGAGGCACAGCAATGGGTGAAGCTGAGATGCCTGCAGAGAAAGTTGTGGATGGGGCTGGCAATCCAATCATTGTGTGGAAGGCTGCTGGGGATTCTGCTTCTAGCTCGGGATTAGGCTCGAAAAGTGACTGGTTTGTGGAGATGGTGGCGACATGTGACCCTAGCACTCGAGTTTGGGTGAATGCACACAACCTGAAGGTGAGTGGGTTGAAGTTTTTTGTTTTTGTTTGCCTGGTTATAATTCTTACAGATAACTAACGTGAAGTCCTACTGCCACATAATCTTGCTTATTAATTCTCCTGAGGTGTGCTGCATGCTACAGGGCATGGCATGTCAGTTACTTGCATTCTCAAATTCCTGCCTTCTCATCATCCCCATTTCCACTTCTCATGCCTTTTTTCATCGCTTCCGTTTCAGGATCGGAGACATTGGGCCATGGGCTGGCTGCAGAAGGAGGAACTGCAAGCCCTGGATTTTTTCTCTGCTAGCGAACAGGTTTCAGGGCTTGGGGCAGGATCAGGAGTAGATGGAGGGAGCATCGATGGGCTCTCAAAACGTCTGGTATGCAAGGCATGTCAAGGGCAGGGCAAGGTTGCCTGTCCCAGATGCAAAGAGCTGGCAGAGATGAGGGAAAAGGAGAGAGAGCGACGGAAAAATGAAGGTGGGAGGGATGGGTTTGATGATGACTTTCAAGATGATGGACTGCTGGAAATAATCCAGATTTGACATGTGACATGTGTTGGAAATCCGAGTACAGTACACCATTATTGGTGTGAATGGGACCATCCTGCGAGTTAGGTGGGTCCATAAATACCCTGCTGTGTCACTTCTCAATCAATCAATTCTGAACCCATTTCCGGTGCAAGCTTTCTATTTTGTTGTTTCTACAAACACGTTTCTGCTACGCTGGCACTATGCCTTTCTAGCAACATGGTGGTTGTCAATGGCAATCAGCGGTCCAAAAAAAATCAGCTGATGACCGTGCACTTGCAGTTTGCGAGTCGTTCTCAATTGACAATATTCGTCAAAAAGCAGGTCTTTTGTTCTCTGTAAATACCGTACAGAACTTAACATTTAGAAAATGCTGGTACGGTATCTCCTGGAACCATACATTGTTCAGTCTTCACTAATGAGCCTTCTGTCACTTTCTTTGGGCACTCAATCATAGCATGCAAGATCATGCTCAAGCTTTCTCCTCCTTGATTCCAAATCCTGCATGTGATGAGGGTAAGCAAGGCCCTGCATGATGGAATTGATGTGTGCAATTATCACCCACCTCTATTTCCTTCTTTGCCTCTTCCTTTTTCTCCTTATCTTTCTGGATGTCCTTCTTCAGTTCACCGACGCACACTATCCCCTGTCGTTGGAGCATGAGCATGAAACTCTGAATGCACTTTAAAAAAACTGGTGAGGAAATCACATACCCCGCAAAAATGGAGTATTCCACAAACAAGGAGAAGCCAAATGGCTCCATTGTCAAAAATCTTTTCAAAAATCGACTTGCTGCAGGTCCTTGTTATGGCCTTTGTCAGAATTGCAACGCTGCAAATGACAGATTGGCGTTTAAGTTGACAGAAGAGAGGTCAAATTCTATGATTAAGGGGAACGCTTACAATCCTTGCAGCATTCCCCTTGCTGTCCAGAACTTCAAGATCTGAGAAAACCGGTGTCACGAGTTATTGCTCATTGCAGAGACTTTGAAGGGGCACTTTTCTGACTTTCTTACCTCCATAGACTTCGTGACTACGTCCAGCTCCGCTTCCAGCAACGCAGAAGCAAGAGACAACACAATTCCATATGCTTGCAACAGCACAAGGAAAACCTGAAGTAGGCGCAGTCAATATACAAAGGTGGTGCTCGAGAAAGGTAAAGGTACTATGAGCACGTACATTCACTCCAGGAGGAATAGCGCTGACGACCATCGAGATGCCATTGACAACGGCACAGGCAACAGATGATACTGCCGTTATGACTGATAGAACAGTACAAATTGACATAAACACCTGCCGTTCAGATATTTGTTTGGCATATTTTGGAGGATTTGCATGTTGAGGAGTCGCGACGGCCAGGTCTGAGTCCTCAACAGAAAGTCTGGTGTCCTCGCGTGGGCTTAATGGCGGACTTATGTCATTCCTGAAATTAATATCATAAGCGTGCATCCCATCAGTAGAGGTAAAAACCAATGGCGGCACCTTACATTGGTACTACAGGAGTCTCCATTATTTGGAAATTGGCGATGACAGGATGGAAAACAAATGGTAAGATTCGCTTCCACAAGCGTTGAAAAATCTGAAGACTCCCTTCGAGATTCTGAAGTGATAAGTTCTGTTCTTCCAACAGCTTATGTGAGACAGACTCGCATCCAGAACACAACACGATTAGGTGAGGTGCCCGCCCACAACACAAAAGCTCTTGTCGGAGCCTCAATCTGCGTTTCTGCGACCTCTATTGCAGAAGAGTGGTGCATGAAAACTGATGCGTGTGCTGAATTGCTCAATAACGGGTTACAGAGACTTACAACAGTTATAGGGTGATCTACAAAAAAAAATCACAACATTTGATCTAAACAGACTAATTTACCTAGGATCATCAAGGGCTTGCTCACACTCAACTCTAAGAAAAATTCATTATTGCCAGCTCCTGAAATTACGAAGACATATCCCTCATAGAAATGGCAGATCTGTGCCTTCCTCCATGGAGAAGAAAAAACACCCCGATCAAACATAGAAACTACTTGATTAACAATCTTCAGCCCTACATCTAGTTATTGCCAGACCTTCCGGCCTTGGCATCAATTGCTGCCGCCGCCGCAGCTGCAGCTGCATGAGCCATACCCGATCTCCCTTCAAACGCCACCCCCCCACCCGCTCCACCTTCCCCATCAGACCCCCTCCTCCCTCCCCCACCCCGCTCCTCACCATCCCCACCCTCACCCCCCCCTACCAACCCATCAGAACCCTCCACCTCTCCTTCCCCATCACTCTCCCCGTCTCCTCCCAGCGAGTCTGTCCCTTCAAACCCAGCCGGCACTGGCTTAGTGGCCACAAGAATGCGCTCCGGGCTTTTCTTGGTCTCCGGAGGGAAGAAGGCGAGAGACCACTGGGCGGCTCTAGCTGCCTGGGCCACCACAGCGAGAGGCCCGGGGAGGTCGCGCACAATGACAGTGCCTCCTGGGCGGAGGAGTCGGTCCATCTCCACGACTATGTCTGCAATCTCACAGCGCTCCCTTTGGGGTGCAGGAAGGGTGCAGAGAGTTGAGAGGGGGGGAAGAGAGGGAAGGGAGGGCAGGGGAGGAGATGGAAGAGAGAGGGGAGGAGAAGAGAGGAGAGAGAGGAGGGGAGAGATACGGATGAAGCGTGCGTCTAGCTGCCTGTGCCACCACGGCGAGAGGCCCGGGGAGGTCGCGCACAATGACAGTGCCTCCTGGGCGGAGGAGTCGGTCCATCTCCACGACTATGTCTGCAATCTCACAGCGCTCCCTTTGGGGTGCAGGATGGGTGCAGAGAGTTGAGAGGAGGGGAGGTTCAGGGAAGGGGAGGTCAGGGGAGGAGGGGGGAAAGAGGAAAGGAGAAAGTCATATATGACATTATTTAGATGGGTCCAGAATATAATATCTTGACACCGTATGTTTTTCCAATCATACAGGTGCATGCAGTCCCAGCATGCGGATTTGGGGTTTGATGGATTAGTTGAACACCCCAAACAGGATCCATATGTGGAAGTGAGCAAGTGTGAGAGCATGAGTGCGAATTTGAGAGTGAGTGAGAGTGGAGGGAAATACTTGGAGGGCATGAGAGGCGCGGTGGAGAGGAGGTGAATGAGGTCGTAGGTGCGAGGGTACGATGAGAATGATTCACACCTGACACATGCACGCACAGCGCAGGGGTACAGAGGAGGAAACGGGGGAAGGGGAGGTAGAGAAGCAGGAGAAAGGGAAAAAAATGACAAAGGGGCATTAATCCAGTGTGGGAAATATCGCGCTCGCCCAACCTCAATCAGACCAACTACTGAAACCATCTCCCTTCAAAATGTAAATGAAGACACAACACACTACTTCAATGGCGGTCGCTGTCCTCTCCATGTCTGTTACTGTCCTGACCCTTCCCCCCGTTACCCTCCAACCAAGGAACGAACAAATGAAGGAGGAATAAAAAAAGGGAAAAGCCAGCTCACCAGTCATGCACAGTGCCTACAAGCCCACGGTCATAGATAGCAGGCAGTGTGTTGGGCCCCGTACTAGGCACCACATTCATCACCCACACCGGAGACACCCCCCCTCCCTGCAGCTCCTCCTGCTGCTGCTGCAACTCCCTCCCCCTCCCCCTCCCCACCCCCCTCCCCATCTCCCTCTCCCTCTCAGCCTTCAGTTGCTCATCCTCCAAAGCTGCTGCCAGGCCCCCGATCCCCGCGTTCATATCCAGCACGTTTCGAACACGCCCCGAGGAGAGGAGAGGCCCGAGAAAGAGCTTCTGGTAGTGCAGCAACCGCCGGCGCCACCGCTTGCGCTCCAGAGACAGCAGCTTGAACTGCTCCGTCTCTCCCCCGCCTCCACTGCCGCCGCCCCCACTCCCTCCCCCCTCGCGTTCCTCGTCGACTGAAAGCAACAGCCGGCGCTGGGGGTTGTTGCCGCTGTCCCTGCGGCCTTCCCTCGCTCCCCCTCCCCCTCCCCGCCCGCCTTCCCGGTCCTCCTCTGCGTCGTCGTCCTTGCCTCCCTGTGCTAGTATCCCATCTACCACCACTTTCACTGCTCCTGCGCTTGCTAGCTCCACTCTCCCCACTACGTTCCGGTTGTCGTCGCCCTCTCCCCCATCCCCTGCTCCCCCTCCCCCTCCCCCACCACGACCGCCCCCCTCCGCCCCTCTCTCCCCATTCAAACCAGCCCTATCTAACCCCCCACTGCTACCCCCACCAGCAGCACCAGCAGCAGCAGCAGACGAAGCAGAAGAGGAAGACGAGGAGGAGGAGGAGGCAGAGGTCTGGCCGTTTTCAGAAGACTCAGCGAGCCAGTCGGAGAGAGAGGCTTTGGAGGAGGCGGGGAGGGCGAGTTGCACGCGGGGGGAGGGGGTGTGCAGGCGCATGGGCCAGGGGGGGGTGGGCCAGGAGGGGGGTGCGGAGGGCACTGCACATGGTTGTAGCTTCACATACCTGGTGAGGTGAGGGATAGGGAAGAAGAGAGAGAGGGAGTGCGGAATGGGGAAGAGGGACGGGGGAGGGAAGGGCGGGGGGGGAAGAGGGACGGGTGGGGAAGAGGGGAAGAGGGGGGGAAAGGGGAGGTGGAGGAAGGCAGGGAGAGAGTAAGGAAGATCTGATATTACACACGGCTCAGGCAGGTTATGTATGGGGTCACTGGGAGAGGAAATAGATACACAAGGAGGGGGGGAAGAGGGAGGGAGGGGAGCGTTGCAAGGGTGGGCACGGCAGGTAAGTGAGGGTGCAGCACAGCAATGCAAGGCTATGAATTGGCTCACAGGTCACCTGAGAAGGAAGTGACTAAAGTGAGTGGAAGTGACTTTATGGAGTTACAGCACACCTGGATAGAAAGAAAGGCATGATATGACTTGAGCCTGACTCACTCACTTGCCCCTTCCGTCCGCTTTCTCCCCCTCCCTCCCTCCCCGCCACCCGCCACCTCTCACAACCCATCCCCTTTCCCGTCCACTCCATGCAGCATCAGAAAAACCCCACCCTCCCTTTCCCCATACCAGGCATCATGAGGATCAAGAGCGGGCGAGCAGAGCGGCACATCCCTCATTCCCCACCACCCGTCCTCCTCTCAAACCCACCCCCCCTATCCCCTCCCATCCACAGTGGAACCCAACCCTCCCACCCCTTATCCCCATCCATACCAGGCATCATCAGGATCAAGAGCAGGCGAGCAGAGCGGCACATCCCGCCCATCCCCCTCCACGCCCACGCGGCACGCGTCGCCTCCCAGTTTCCTCCACACGGCCACGTTCCCCACGGTCTTGAGCAGCTCCCAGCACAGCGCCTTGCCCAGCAGCCGCAGCCGCTTCCACTCCGCGATCTTGCCCCGCCACGCCACCGGCTGCCCAGCCAGGATGAAGACTCCGTTGGGGCGCAGCAGCCGGTCTACCTCGTACACATGCGTGGAGTCTGGGGAGGAGAGAGGGGGGAAGGGAGGAGCGGGAGGGGCAGAGGAGGAGACTGGTGAGTCAACCGAATCCCACCGGCTGCCCCGCCAGGATGAACACCTTGTTGGGCCGCAGGAGAGACGACCCACTTCATGCACGTGCGTGGATTCTGGGGGAGAGAGTGGCTACGAGAGCAGTGTGGGATGAGATCGAAGGAGCGAGCGGGGAAGGGCAGGCGGTGTATGGCGAGCAGAGCAGCCTATATATGGCCGACAAACCCCTCTCCAGCGCTCTCTGTTCCTCCCTTCGTTCCCCATTCTTTCCCGTCTTCTCCCCTTTCAACCCTTCCCCCTAGCCCCCCTTTCCCCCCACCTCTTCTCCACCTCTCCCCACCCCATCCAACCCCTCTTCCCCTCCTCCTCCCCACCCCCCCCACACAACTCACTCTCATCTCCAAACGAAGCGGAGCAGCGGGAACAGTGAATCAGATCAAAGGAACGCGCAGGGAAGGGCAGGCGGTGCGTGGCGAGCAGCCCGATCAGGGCGGGCAGGCCCCTCTCAAGGGCGAACTGGATCTGGGCGCGGTATGAGTCCTTGGGGGCGATGGACATGGTCAGCACGCCGTAATCCAGCAGAGCCGCGCCGAAGCTGGCCACCTGTTGGGTGGGCAGGAAAGGGGGAGGAGGAGAGGGGAAAGACGGGGGGAGAGGGGGAGGGGGGCAGAGTGGAGAGGGGGGAGGTGGGAGGTGGTGAATGGGGCTGCAGGGACGTGGTGAAGAGAAGTGTGGGAAGCACTGAATCTGGGGGGGCGAGCAGCCCAATCATGGCAGGCAGGCCCCTCTCAAGGGCGAACTGGGTCTGTTTGCAGTACGAGTCCTTGGGGGCGATGGACATGGATCGGGCCACGGGCGCATGAGGGGGGCATGTTGTGTTTGGGTTGTGGAAGATGCTGTGGAGGGCGCGAGTGGGTGGATAAGGGTTTGGCGGGAAATGGGAAGAGGGGGGGAGGCGGGGAGAGAATGGATGGCTTTTCGTTCTGAAGAGAGACAAGGAGGGTATTCACACACTCGCCCTAACCCCCACACTAACACTCTCACTCATACTCACACTCACACACTCACTCTCATTCCAATAGTGCCTCACTCACCCGCCTCCCTCAACCCACCTGACGTGACCCCATCCATCCAACACCACGCCAAGAGCGCTCTCGCAATCCACTTCCATCCAACCTTAAACCACACTCCTCCCTCCCCTCGTCCCCCTTCCCTCGTCCCCCGTCCCCCGTCCCCCGTCCTCCCGTCCCCCTTTCCCCCATCCCCTCCTACTTCTTCACTCCCCTCCCTCTTTCCCACTCCCGTTCCCGAATCTCCCCTTCCCCACCCACTCCCCCCTCCCACCTTCCCCTCCAGCACTCACCCCCGAGCCAATATCCAGCGCCGTGCGCACGTTGGGCCCCAGTTCCACGATCTGGCGCAGGTGGTACAGATACCCCTCCACGCCGTCGGGGAACATGGACCCGCCCACTCCCCCTGCCCCACCCCCTCCCCCCCGCACTCACCCCTGAGCCGATATCCAACGCTGTCCGCACATTCGGCCCCAGCTCCACGATCTGGCGCAGGTGGTACAGATACCCTTCCACGCCGTCGGGGAACATGGACCCGCCGCCCTCACCTCCCAATCCCCCTCTCCCCTTTCTCCCCCTCCTCCCACCCGCACTCACCCCTGATCCAATATCCAGTGCAGTCCGCACGTTGGGGCCCAGTTCCACGATCTGGCGCAGGTGGTACAGATACCCCTCCACGCCGTCGGGGAACATGGACCCGCCGCCCGGGAAGTGCCACCTGTCGCCCTGGCGCGCCATCCAGTTCTTGTTGCGCTTGTTGTCCGCGATCGTCGTGTGCGGCACGTTGCGGAACCACACCTGCGCGGGAGGCGGGGAACGGGGCGCGGGGAAGGGGGGAAGCGGGAGGGGGAACGGAAGGGAAAGGGGGGGGGGGGGGAAATGGGGTGAGGGTGGAGAGGGAAGTGGGGAGGGGTACATGGAAAGGAGGAGGACAGGATAGGAAGTTTGTGTTGCGTTATGGCGGGGCAGAGTGGGAGGGGGAGCGGAAAGGGAAAGGAAAAGGCAAGGTTTCAGGTGCGCATGTGGGGGAAAAGGGAACGGGAAACGAAATTCGCGAATTGGGAAACCAGTACGACGCATTGTTCGCCGAGCGATCATGCCACAAGTCGTGGCAACGGCACCGGAAAAGGACGGCATTGCCGAGCAGAGGCGGAACGACAAGAGTTGAAACGGAAAGGGGCTAGACCACAGGAGCCTAGACGACAAGAGGGTAGACGAGTAGTCGACAAGAGGGTAGACGGGCACACGACAAGAGGGTACGCGATGCGCTTGGAGGAGAGAAGATTCGTGCAAGGAGGATACTAACGAGGCACTGCCGAACGGAGTCAACCGGAGAAAGGGAGCAGAAACAAAGGGGGGTCGGTACCAGAAGAAACGAACGGGGGAAGGGAACGGAGAAACCGCAGAAGCACGCGGAAAATTATACAAATGTGAAATTCAGTCAAAAACCCTGATGTAATCCGCAATGATGCTCTCTAACAAGGGTCGCAATCTAACGCGCGCCGGTGAGAATCCACGTACCCAGTCGCGGCTTTCAGGCCATGGTATCGGTCGGCGGTATCCTGACGGCGCGGGCACCAGGCACCGTCGCCGATCCGATTTCCCGGGGCAATGCCGTTCGCGAAACTCGTTGTTTTCGCGAGGGTAGAGGATGGCGATTTTTGGGTCATAGCAGGGGAGGTGGTTGGTCCAGTTGGAAGGGCATGGCGGGAAGGATTGCATCGGCGCGAGCGTGGGTACTCCCGAAGTGGCCGCTTTAAGCATGGAGACGCCTTGATTCGTAAGGCCGTCGCCGAGTGGAGTGAACACGCAGAGGACAACGAATGCGAGGAACGCGAGGATGGTGACGGTGAAAATGTTCAGCAGCCGCTTCTGCCGCTGCTGGAGCTTCGTTAACTGAGGTGGCCGAGGCGGCATGGCTGGCCGCATTTTGTGAAACAGGAAAGAAGAAAGGAAACAGGCGTGGGGGACACCGCGATTGAAGCAGGAGTGGTGTGAAACAGCTCAGTCCATCGGCGATAATGTAAGTGTTGCTGTGAAGCTACGACTAAGAACAGTGTAGATGGTGGTTGGCTCGCAAATTGCCAGTGATCTGTACGGTAATTTGACGGATCGGACGTGAAAATGGGTTAAGGACAATAAGGAAACTAGTCCACCTAATTACCGCTGGGCTGGACAAGAAGAGCTGAGGCATGGCAATGGTTTGGTGCAACTAACTGAAAGCCCAGCAGCAGTGCACACTAGACCAGACAGACACCCATTTGTGTGGCCTGTAGTGTCATCAAATCTAGGAGGTTGTTTGTCGTGAATAGGAGTTAGAAGCGGTATGAAACATTGTCATTATTGTTTTCTATGGTTCAGAGTGGCAGTGGCGGCTCTACGACCCACACTGCTGCTTCGATGTTGGGTGGGCCATGGAGCCAGCCAACAAGTCAGCCGATGAGCCAACAACCACGGTGAAATCTGAACCGTCCAATCCACCTTCAATCCACTATGGTGCTGTACTACTTTCGCGTCTGTCCGTCATCACGCGACAGTGGCTTGTTGGACAAACAGACGGGCCGTCATCATATGAGGTGCTCAACGTCGCCGTCAGTCTGCTGTCACCAGTTGACAGCCTCGTTTTCGCCAGCGCTCCCTCTGTCTTCTGTTACCAGTTTCGCAATTTTGTCGTCAAACAAAACATAAAGTCGATATGTAAGGGTGTGTTTGATATTTTTCCAGGTAACAAAGTATCCTTTGCTTGGTTACCACTTACGTTAATTTCTCGAAAGCTGTGCGACGAGAGGCTGCTCTTTTGAACATATGGCAAATGCGACCTACTTTTCTGAACTCGGTTCGAATCAATTAATAAACGCGAGCGCGTACCTTGAACCGAACGTGTGTTGTTTTGGGCACGCACGCTAAATACGGTAGGTGAATTTTGCGAATCCTTCGCGATGTAATAAATGCTCCGCTCAAAACGCAGTCGGTATGTTGGCGTGGCGAGCGGTCAAGGGATTTATACCTGGTAACCTACTCTCCCTCCGAGCGGCTAAGCGCACCACCTACAGGGTCAAACGTTCACATTCTACCTTGAGTGTGTGATTGGACCTACCTGAAATTCGACCTACGGTTCGAGCTTCACGTTCAACGGAAGTCGAATTCTCTTCTGCTCAAGTTCATACGCTACATTTGATAAAAATAATCTAAACTTATGCCAGGTTTAAAAATCACACATGCCCTAACAGTCACATCACATTACATCACACCCCAATTAGCATTCAAGTTTGCCAAATGGTCCCTTTCGCCTTAATCCGCAAAGGAATAGAGGGTCAACTAAGTCGAGGAAACGTGGTGAACAACTTTGGTGAATAAAAAGAATGTGAAACAGGCAAACAAGTAATTAAGTTAAGAATTGAATAACATTGGTAAATACATGCAAGGATGGTATAGCATGCAAGAGCGAACATTGGAAAGTAGTTTGTGAGACTAGGGATTGAAATGAAAAAATAAAGAAAAAACAACAAAAAAACAAACAACACAAAACAAAAACAAAATCAAAAACTAGTTCAACGTGGCCGCCTGGAAATCTTGGATAGATGGATGCAGATCAAGTTGGATGGGGTTGGAATGTCAAACTATAGATAGGCTAGGTTAGTTTATACAAGGTTGCGTTGCTCTTCGAAGTGTACAATACCGTATTCCCCCGGATATAACACCCTAGGGTGTTATGTAAATCCCGTTCTAAAAAGAGGGGGGGTCTTTGTCAAAATGAGGAATGGATGTTGCATTCATGTTGGTTGGGGTACATATGACAAACCCTAACTTCTGTACCCCCTAAGACAAACCTCACTACAGGCTACAACATTTGACACACCCCCATAGCCTAAGTGAGGGGTGTCTAGCAAAAACAAAAAAGAGTACGGTCACAAGACCAGTCTAAAAGAAAACAAAGCTCAGGGTGGATCACAACGTCACCACACACTCTGAGCACAAGCAACAGTGGCCACAAGGCCAGTCCAAGAGATCACAAGTATATATAGTAAGTGTACAGACGAAGCAGGCAATAAACTCAAGTCTACGCATGACTAGAACCTGTGTCAACAAGGCCTAACTGCACACAACACCTCTGGTGGTCACAAGGCGGAAGCGCCTTGGTGAAGATGTCTGCAGTGTTGGCCTCGGACTCTACAAACTCGAAGCGAGCCTGTCCACGCCTCTGCAACTCTCGCAGAAGAAAGTACCTGACGTGAATGTGCTTCACTCTGCTCTCCAGTCGCGGCTCACGACAGAGGAGGATCGACGCCTTGTTGTCAGTAAACAAGGTCGGTGCAGAGCTCGGCCGCTCACCAAGGTCGGCGAGCAAGAAGGTCAACCACCGCAACTCCTGTGCCGCCATGGCACCAGCGTAAATCTCAGCCTCAGCTGTAGAGGTCGAGACAGAAGAGGAGCGCGTGGAACGCCAGGAAACAGCTCCAGAACCCAGACTGAAACAGTACCCCTGAGTAGACCTGTGAGTCTCAGCGTCGTCAGCGTAAGAGGAGTCATAGTGACCAGTGAGTACGACAGACTCCTGCCCTCCAAGAACTAGCCCCACGCCTGATGTAGTCGCTAGGTACTTCGCCACCCTCACAGCTGCCGTCCAGTGAACAGGACGGTGTCTCCCTGGCGCAACAAAGCGCGCAAGGATGCTGAGAGGGAAGGCGAGGTCCGGGCGAGTACAAGTCATCAGGTACATGAGGCAACCCACAAGCTCTGCGTAGGGACCACTAGGCTCAAACGGCTCGTCAGGAAAGGGACCAGTGAGTCTGTGGTCAACAGCTAGAGGTGTGCGCTGTACGGTGGAGTGCTGAAGCCCGAACCGCTGAAGGACCTGCTGCACCATGTGTGACTGTGAGAGTGTAATGGTGCGAGCGGCTCTGTCCCTGGTGATCTGCAGGCCAAGGTAGTGGCGCAGCTCACCAAGATCAGTGCATGTGTGTCTCTTCTGCAGTTCGGACTTCACGTCTGCCAAAGCAACCCTGTCCGAAGTGGCAAAAACGAGGTCGTCGACGTAGACCAGAACAAAGAACGGTGTGGAGCCACGACGAACGAACAGCGACGGGTCGGCAGAAGACGGCTGGAACCCAAGGTCAGAGAGAGTAGAACGCAGAGTGTCGTGCCACTCACGAGGGGCCTGGCGAAGACCGTAAACAGGTCGCCTCAGCCTCCACTGGGTCCCAGGAGGGAAGGTGCCAGTGAAGGCCGAGGGACGACGCAACCAGACCTCCTCGTGTAGGCTGCCCTGAAGGAAAGCAGTGGAGAAGTCGAGAGAGTGTAACTCGTAGTCTCTCTGTGCTGCTACGTGTAGTAACACCCGAAGAGTGGTCATCTTCGGGGTAGGTGCGAAGGTCTGAAAGAAGTCAACTCCCTCGCGCTGACTGAAACCTCTAGCCACGTAGCGCGCCTTGAAGACCGGGGGAGATCCCGGTGGCCGCTTCACCCTGTAGATCCACATGCCGTCGACTACGTTCGCCCCAGGGGGGGGAACCTCATCGACGTAGGTGCCTGTGGATCTGTAGGAGGCCATCTCTGCGTCCATGGCAGCTCTCCACTGAGAGGCCCAAGGCCCTGACACTGCCTCAGCGTAAGTGCGAGGAGTCGGAATGTCAAGGGCGTCGGGGTCACCCTCAGGGGCGAGGAGCATGGCACAGAGATGAGGGGAAGCGGCCGCCAGGAACTCTAGCTCAAACTGCCTGTCCTCTAGGGCGTCACAA